GATCAGACTAAGGGTGTAAGCTTCCTATCCAAACCTAATGGCCACAAGGTAGTTGCCTTTAAATTGAGAGGGTGGCATGAGGGTAAGGAAGCAAAGAAATAACCGGGCTTCAGAAATATTGTCTAGAAAAGAACTTTACATGTGGCCACAGTCACTTGGAAATGATTAGAAGCAAAGAGATTAGAAATTAAATTTTGAATGGAATTATAAATGAATCAAAATCTGGTCCTTTGAAAAGACCAAAAACAAGTAAACAAACAAAAACAGCTTGATTAAAAAATAAAGAGAGGTTAGGAATGAGAAAATAAAGCTAACCGTAGGCACAGGATAGACTAAAAGAATTATATGAGAATACACCACACATGGCATATCGTATATAGTTATTATACATTGCTAGAGTCAGTCTTTTGAGACAATAGTGATAAAACTGTAACATACTGAACCCAACCAAACATAAAAACATTTAATGTGCAATTCATCATATTAATGTTAAAGAAAAAAAATCATTACCTCAGTTAATACAGAAAAAGCATTTGATAAAATTCACCTCGTTTCATGGTAAAATTTCTTAGCAAATGGGGAATGGAAGGGAACTTTTATAACTTGTTAGAAGGTATGTATCAAAATCTGGATGTAAATTTAATACTTAATTGGGAAGCATTAGACGTATTCATTTTCAATCAAGAACAAAACAAGTATTTCAGACATTACTACTTCTATTCAATATTTTACTGGAGGTTCTAACTAATGTTGTAAAGACAAGCAAAATAAACAAACAAATAAAAGAAATGTAAAGGATGAAAAAAATCCAGTCATTATTTGTATATGATAGAATTCCTATGTAGAAAATTCAAAGAAATCCATAGACAAACAATATTACCATAAAAGATTTCAGCAAGATTTGGGATGCAAAATCAGTACGCAAAAATTGATTGTCATCCTATTAACCTAAAAATTCTTTTGAAAATACAGTTTAAAAATATCATTTACACTAACAGCAAAAATGGTAAGATATCATGAATTAAATCTCACAAAAGGTGTACAAGACCTATATGGGCAAAATTATAAAGCTCTGTTGAAAGATACTGAGAGACCTAGAAAAAGGAAGAGAAATACCATGTTCAGAGATGGGAAAATAACGTTTTAAAGATGTCAATTCTCCCCATATTCATGTAATTCCAACTAACATCCCAACAGTTTTTTTATGTGTGTAGAACTTGAGAAGATGTAGATTCTAAAATTCACTGAGAGAGAAAGAAGCAAGCCTTGCCAATTCTACAATTTTCAAAAAGTTGAAAGTAGACGAACTTGCCCTACAAGATATTAAGACTTGTTATAAAACTACAAAACTAAAACAGTGTAGTATTGGCCCAAGGATATAGAAATAGATCAGTAGAATAGAATATATAAAAATCAAAAGAATCAAAACCGTTCACATATATAAAATGCAAACATTATATATGACAAGGTTGGCATTACAACCAAATGGGAAAGGCTGAGCTATTCAATAAATGGTGTTTTGACAGCTGGTTATTTATACAGAAAATAATAAAATTTGATTCCTACCTCATACATGAAAGTTAAAGACTTCTGTCCTAAAAAAGATACTATACACAGGCTAAAAGTCAATCCACATACTGGGAGAACATGTTTAGACTTTACACAACTAAGTTTTAGGATGAGGAATTGTAGGTATAGTCATTGTTCATCTTAATAGTTATAAATTAGTATTTTTTATATAGCCTACAAATTATTAAAAAAGACTCCATTAGCAAAATGGGCAAAGGATATCAACAAGCAATTCAAAGAAGAAACTCAAATGGTTAACAGACATAAAAATTGCTCACTGTCATTCAAAATTAGGGAAATGCAAATTAAAACAATAATTATTTTCTTTCCCCCACCAGATTGTTAAAAATTATAATCTTGTAAACCCAAGTATTGGCTAGAATGCAAAGCAACAGGAACTCTCATATACTGTTGATGGACGTATAAACTGGCACAACACTTTGGAGAGCAACTTTGCAATAATTGGTTAATTTTAAGATACACATATTTTAAGATCCAACAATTCCATTTCTAGGTATATATTGTAGTGTGAGAGTCCAAAAATGGGATCAAGCACCCCAGGGGGTTGCATAAGATGATCCAGTGGAGAGCAAGAAAGTAATATTAGAACCTCTAATTGTTTATTTTAATCTAAAAAATAAGAAAGGAATGAAGGAAATGAAAATGTATTAATGTTTAACATGTGGCTAGGCACTCACCTCTTCCTTGATGTGTATGTAAAATAGTACATCATTAAAGTTAAGGTGTTTTGGGGGTAGAGTGGAAATTCCACAGCGATGAAGAGTTGACCCCTGCATACTCCTTTATCCATTTGTTTGTAGTGTATTGCAATTTACATGCATCTGGGTAAGTGAATTTATGGGTAATATTATTCACTTTTAAATGAACTAAAAAGTAGACAGTGGCTTAAAAATTAGACTAATAAAGCAAACATAAACAACAGGAAAATGGCAAAGAGGATATATCTGCTTCTAGTTTAAGTACTCCATCTGTCATATTTGGACATAAAAAAATAGTGATTTGTAATCAGATCTGACTTTTAATCACATTACTATCGTTAAAATACATTATATTATTAATATTTTTCTTAATGAGAGGGAAATAGTTTTCATCTTCCTAAGAAAATAAATTAACATTTTATTCATCATTATCTCATTCTTTTAATTTCTATTTTTGTCTGTTTTATAATATATAACATTATTATAGAAGAATATATAATTTATATTTAAATAATTTATAATTATATGTATTTATGATTTATGAATTAATGTATTCATGATTTATAAGTAATTTTTAATAATATATAACATTATTGTAGAAGAATATATATAATTTATACATACATTTAAATGCATTCTCAAGAATATTTTACGAATAACTATGTATGATCAAAAAACTCTATAGACCACGTCTTAGAAACAGTTTTGCAAAAGTGTACCAAGAGAAATGTACAAGGGTACTTAGTGTAGTACTGTTCATAATAAAGAAAAGTTCATAAAAGAAAAATAAACATTAGTGTTTATCAAAAGGAGAAAGGATAAGTACATTGTGTTTTTTTAAGTAGTAATGATATACTTTCAGAAGTTAAATTGATAAATTAGAGCTAAGTGTATCAAAATAAATCCATTTCAAAAACATAATGTTGAACTGAAAACTCAGGTTTCAGAAGGATATGTACATTATAATGTCATAAATATAAAGGTAAAAAATGCAAACCAATAATACAGATAGATACATAACTATACATACAGAGCAGAGGAATAAAACGTGCAAATGATTCATATCAAGTTCACAGTGGCAGTTCTTCTGGTGAGCGAGTGGAATGGGCTTGGAAAAAGTACACAGGGGACTTTAATTATAATTTTATTTCTTTAAAAAACAAAGGCCCAAATCAAGTGCGGCAAAATATTAAGGTCAGATAAAGCACGCTGATGATTACAAGAGTATTAAATATATTATTCTCAAAAGTTTTGCGTATGCTTGAAATAAATATTTCGTAATAAAATAGTTTACTTTTCTCAGGATTCCTAACTATGTCCTCTGAGGCACATAGTATTTAAATATCATCCATGCTTCCTAATATAACAGAATGAGGTAATATTGACTGTGGGATTTTGTGACCCCAATTTCAAAATGCTTTGTAAGAATGTAGATACTAGCACTTCTCCACTGCTTGGCTGTAATGCTTTAGCCATCTCTTATAACACTGAACCCTACTTTATATTGCAATAAGGTTTATACAAATCTGTCTCCTGCAGTAGATTAAGCTGTGGCAGGTATCTTATTTTATTCTTTTATTCCTGAAGATGACCAGCATATCTTGTATACAATAAGATCTCAAGGAATGTTTATTAATGAATATTGAATGAATCTAACTGGCTTGGACAGTATTATCTGAATTCTTGTGTTATAAATTCTCACAAAGTACAACTTCAATCCTAGATAATGATTTACTTTCTTAATTCTCCTTTGTAGATTATATGAACTGATGTAACCTTATCTTTGTCTTGCTATAAAAAAATGTAAAGGATTGCTTTGTTCAAATAAATAGTATTTAATTTAACTAACATTGAGTGCTTGTTTGCTGGGCTTGTGGTTATCACATTTATCATTATGTTCTTAGTGCCTCATATAGAGCCTGGCAGACAGTAGATCCTCAAGAGATATTAATTGAATGTATCAATAAATAAAAGGAGCAGAGATGAGAGAGTGATAAACTCAGCCTGGGCAATGAGAAGATGATACTTGAGTTGTGTTTTGATGGATGAATAGAAGTTTTCCGGGACAAGGACAAAGAGAGGGAACAGTATGTGTAAAGATGGGAAATAATGCAATGTGTATTTTGGAGAAATACAATAGTTTGGTATTTTTTGAGATTTGTAAACTGCAAGACTGTGCCCGCTGGGTGATACAACTGGAAATATAGTCAGAACAAAGCTCATTATGTTAGGGAGGTTGGACTCTACCCTGCATGGACTGGAGGGTTTTAAGAAGGCTATGGATAATGCTCATGCTTGCATTTTAAAAGAATACTGTAGTGTCAGTGTGGAGGATGGCTGGAGTGGAGTAGAACTAAAAAGAGGTAGAAAAAGTAAATCTGGAGATTACCATAGTTAGACAAAAGATAACAGAACTTGGAGTGAGACTGTGAGTGACGTTGGGATGGGCAGAAGGTGGATTTAAAAGAGATTTAGCCATTCTGTGGAATACTATTCAGCAATAAAAAGGGATAAAATAGGGGCTGACCCCGTGGCTGAGTGGTTAAGTTTGTGCGCTCTGCTGCAGGCAGCCCATTGTTTCATTGGTTCAAATCCTGGGCGCGGACATGGCACTGCTCATCAAACCATGCTGAGGTGGCATCCCACCTGCCACAACTAGAAGGACCCACAACGAAGAATATACAACTATGTACTGGAGGGCTTTGGGGAGAAAAAGGAAAAAAATAAAATCTTTTAAAAAAAAAAGGAATAAAATATTAACACACGACAACATGAATTAATATAAAACTATTAAGCTAAGTGAAAGAAGTCAAACACAAAGGACTATGTACTGTATAATTCTATTTATATGAAATTCTAGAAAAGGCAGCACTGTAGTGACAGAAAGCAGAGCAGTAGTTGGCTGGGGTCAGGGGTAGGGGGGGAGTCAACTGCAAAGGGCATGAGGAAGATTTTAGGAAGAAAGAACTATTCTATAACTTGATTGTGGTTACACAGTTGTACACAATTACGACAATTCATCAAACTCTATACTTAAATTGGGTGAATATTATTTTATGTAAATAAAATCTTAATAAATTATTTTTAAAAGTGAAAAAGTAAGGCTAAAACCAAAAAAAGATTTAGGAGGTGGAATCAATAGAACTTGGTGAGTACGAAGAATGTGTGTACTTTGCTTTATATGGTGGCTGTGTTTCCAGAAAAGATCTGTAAAAAGAAAATTTAAAATGCTCTAAGGGAACTATTCAACCTTTAGTGATTGTTTTAACACTATTTTCTTACAGAGAATTTTGAACATAAATAAAAGTTGAGAGAATAGTATAACGAAGCCCTGTCCACTCCACATCCACTTTTAACCACCATCAATTTATGTCCAATTTCGTTTCATTTATACCCCATTCTACTCCCTTAATCCTGAACTATTCTAAAGGAAATCTCAGACATTATATAATTTCATTCATAAATATTTTAGTATTTATCTTTAATAAGTCATGACTCTTTTCAAAACATAACCACAATACCATCATCACACCTAAAAATTAATAACATTTCTTAATGCCATCTAATATCCTGCCAGACTTCAAATATCTAATTGTCTCACGAAGTTGTAAATTTTCATTTTTATAGCTTGTTTGAATCAAAATCCAAATAAGGATCACACATTGCAATTGATACACCTTCTAAGTCTATTTTTGGCTAAGTTGTCCCTTTTTTTCCCCTTGCAATTTATGTGTTGAATAACCTGTGTATTTCTTAATGTAAGAAATCTTTCTGTTATTCAAATGACTACCTCCTACTTTTTAATAAGTTTTAAATTTGGATTGTTTTCTAATTTCTCTTTTAATATTTTAGTTGCATTCCAATAATTTTTCGATAAAGCCATAGTCTGGTGACAGGATTATCTCACAGTATCCCTGGGTATGTTCTTGCTTTTGGCACTCTGTCTCAAGGGCAGTGATCCTGTGGCTTAGTGCACTGTGTGGGTACCGAGACAGGTGTGCATCACTTACAGCTGTTTGAAGATCATCTGTACTGTCAGGGAAGATATTTGATCTTTCTTCGCTCTCCAAAATTTTATCAATATTTTGGGTCATAGCATTTTTTACATCAGTTACTTGACTCCTCAGGGTGGATATAGAGCTGTTATCTTGGTTTTTATTGTATTTTACCTGTATAGAAATACAATACAAGTTTTATTTTCTAGAAATGAAATCTATTAAAATATGTTGTACAAATTAGAACAAGAGTGTCAAGGGCACATCTCATTTGTATTTCAGTATAAAGAATCCACTAAGCCTCAGATTGTGCCATCTTCATCTTGCAAAAAAAAAAGGGGGGGTGGCAGAGGGAGATATCAATGTATTCAATCAGCAGTCGAAGTGTTCTTTTAAAATAAAAATTGTCTATTTATTTATATAGACTCTTTTAAAAGACAAGTTTTAGGTTCACAGTAAAATTAAGTGGAAAGGACAGAGTTCCCACATAAACCTTATCCCCCCACATGCACAGCCTCCATCACTATCAGCATCCCACACTAGAGTGGTACATTTGCTACAATGGATGACCCTACACTGATGCATCATTATTCACCCAAAGTCCATAGTTTACATTAGGGTTCACTGTTGGTATTGTACATTCAGTGAGTTTGGACAAATGTATGATGACATGTATCGACCATTAGAGTATAATACAGAACAGTTTCACTGGGCTCCACCTATTCATGCCTCCCTTCTCCCTAAGCCCTGGCAACAATTGGTCTTTTTTTTTTTCTTGCTGAGGAAGATTCACCCTGAGCTAACAGCTGCTGCCAATGCTCCTCTTTTTTTGCTTGAGGAAGATTAGCCCTGAGCTAACATCTGTGCCAGTCGTCCTCTGTTTGTTTGTATGTGGGACACCTCCACAGCGTGGCTGGTGAGTGGAGTAGGTCTGTGCCCAGGATCTGAACCTGCAAACCCCAGTCACTGAAGCGGAGCACGCAGAAACTTAACCACTTGGCCACCTACCAGGCCAGGCCCAATAATTGCTCTTTTTACTGTCTCTGTAGCTTTGCCTTTTCCCGAATATCATATAGTTGGAATCATACGGTATATAGCCTTTTCAGATTGGCTTCTTTCCCTTAGTAATATGCATTTAAGGATCCTCCACGTCTTTTCTTAGGCTGATACCTCACTTGTTTTTAGTGCTGAATAATAGTCCATTGTTTGGATGTACCACCGTTTATTTACCATTCACCTATGGAAAGACATCTTGGTTGCTCCCATGCTTTGGCAGTTATGACTAAAGCTGCTATAACGTCTGTATGTAGGTTTTTGTGTGGACGTGTTTTCAGCTCCTTTGGGTAAATACGAAGGAGTGCGACTGCTGGATTGTATGGTAAGGGTATGTTTAGTTTTGTAAGAAACCGTCAAACTGTCTTCCAAAGTGGCTGCACCATTTTGCATTCCCACCAGCAGTGAATAAGAATTCCTACTGCTCTCCACATGCTTCTCAGCATTTGGTGTTGTCAGTGTTTTGAATTTTGGCCATTCTAATAGGTATGCAGGGGTTTCTCATTGTTGCTTTAATTTGTGATTCCTTGATGACATATATGTTGAGCAAATTCTCATATGTTTATTTGCCATATGTATTTTTTTTGGTGAGGTATCTATTCAGATTTTTGGCCCTTTTTTTATTGTGTTGTTTATTTTCTTATAGTTCAGTTTTAAGAGTTCTTTGTATATTTTGGATAAAAGTCCTTTATTAGATATACATTTTGCAAATATTTTCTCTCATTCTCTGGCTTGTCTTCTCATTCTCTTGACAGTTTTTTTTTTTTTAGCCCAATCTGACAATCTCTCTCTCTCTCTTTTTTTTTGGTGAGGAAGATTGGCCCTGAGCTAACATTTGTGCCATTCTTCCTCTACATTGTATGTGGGATGCCACCACAGCATAGCTCGATGAGCAGTGTGTAGGTCTGTGCCCAGGATCTGAACTGGTGAACCTCAGGCCACTGAAGCAGAGTGTGTGAACTTAACCACTATGCCGTCAGGCTGGCCCCCAGTCTCTGTCTTTTATTTGGTGTATTTAGACCATTAAATTTTAAAGTAATTATTGATATAGTTGGATTAATATCTACCATATTTGTTACTGTTTTCTATTCATTGCTCTTGTTCTTTTTCCCATTTTTGTCTTCCACTCTATCCATATTAACAAAAAATAATCTCTAAGATATAGTGCTATATTAAAAAATGAAGCTGCAGCTGCAGAACAATATGAAATAACTTATTGAATGCTCAGTATGTGCCAGACACTGTTTTAAGCACTTCACATGTATTAACTCATTTAATTCCCAAACCACCAAAGTAGTACTCATCATCTTTTATTTTCTAAATAAGAAAACTGAGACTGAGAGAAGTTAATAAGTTGCCCAATGTTGCACAGCAAGAGGCAAAACAAGGATTCAGGCTCAAGAAGCTCCAGAGATTAAGCCTTTAATCATTGCATTAACGGTTCCATCTTGTGAATTTAAAAAGTATGTATAAACTTATATATATTACAAACATATATATGCATATATAAATGTGTATGTACACATATTTGTATGTACATATTTGTATGTATGTACATATTTGTGTATATATATATATTAGTATATATATATATACACAAATAATTCTGGAAGGTTACATACCAAACTGTTAAGAGCGCTCATCTCAGGGGGTTTTGATTGAAATTATAGGAGATATTCATATTTCATTTTATACATTTTTGTATTATCTCATTTCATTAATGAGCATTACCTTTTAAATGAAAAATGATATTAAAAACCCCTGTTCTGAGGCTGGCCCGGTGGCACAGTGGTTAAGTTCGCACGTTCTGCTTCTCGGCGGTCTGGGGTTCGCAGGTTCGGATCCCGGGTGCAGACATGGCACCGCTTGGCACGCCCTGCTGTGGTAGGCATCCCACATATAAAGTAGAGGAAGATGGGCACGATGTTAGCTCAGGGCCAAGATTCCTCAGCAAAAAGAGGAGGATTGGCAGTAGTTAGCTCAGGGCTAATCTTCCTCAAAACAAACAAACAAACAAAAAAAGCCTGTTCTTTGGTGAATGATCAAATCCACCTTAAGCAGAATTCTGATCTTGCTGGTTACTGGACCATGCAACTTACAACTGATGTTCTGGGAGGAGCTCACTAGATAAATGTAGAAAAGAGGAGGTTGCTAGTTGAATTCTGTCCCCCTGAAAAGATATGTTCAGATCCTAGCTCTGGATGCCTGTGGCTGTGACCTTATGTGGAAATCACGTGTCTGCAGATGTCATCAAGTTCAGATGGATGGTTAATCTTTGATTGTTCTTTTTGTTCCTTTCTCTTCTTTTTAAAATGCTTAATCTTTTTTAATGTAAGAAAATTATCTGAGCTTTGTGAAGATAATGTATTCATAGTCCATTCAATGACATTTGGTACATTTATATATATTTTTTGAAATCTCTCTAAACTACTTTTTTCATTTTGTTAATTATAGTAGAAGAAATTCAACAACTTTTATAAAATTTTCTACAGATTGAAAGCTTACCAGGTTAGTTTATAAATGTTAAACAGAAATTTCTTTGATGTTAGATGTGTTAACTGCTTAAAATGTGCATATTTTCGCACTATAACTAGTTTTCAGGGAGCTATGTTAATATATTTTGGCTGTGTTGATATATGCAGAATTTTTCATAAGAAAATGTCTGCATTTAATATAAAAACATCTATCCGTAGTTATTTTGTCAGGCATGGTGGAGGACACACAATAGGATGATCCCCAATGAGCCACATCCTGGTAAAACGCCCTGCCCTTAAGTGTGACTTGCTTCTAACTAACAGAAGCAAAGGTGATGGGATGTCACTCCTGTGATTGTCACATTATACAAAATTCAGCAGATTAGAGTGAGAAATATTCCTCTGGGGCCTTGAAGAAACAAGCAGCCACGCTGAGGACGCCCATGTGGCAAAGAACCGCTATCAGTCTCGAGGACGTGCGGGCGGGGTGGCCTCCAGCTAACCCCAAACAGCTGCATCCCTGGCGCCGCCAGAAGCAGGTGAATCCTGCAGCAGCCTGAGTGAGCCGGGAAGCGATTGTCCTCGGAGCCTCCAGAGCAGGACACAGCCTGGCTGCCACACTCCCTGCAGCCTTGAGAGACCCTGAGAGAACCCACTTAAGCTGTGACTCTCGATTCCTCACCCTTGGGAACTGTGAGATAATAAATGTGTGCTGTTTTAGGCCGCTGACTTGTGGTAAATTGTTACACAAATAGAAAACGAATACAGGTATACTTAAAATATTTTATTATGGAGAAGTTCAAACACATACAAAAGCAGAATGAACAGTGTAATCAACCCTATGTACCCGTCACCTAGTCTCAGCAATTATCAACACATACCAATCTTGTTTCCTCCATACCAACTGACTGCCCCTTCCCCAAAAGTATTGTTTTAAAGCAAATCCCAGACAGTCTATTATTTTAATCTGTAAAGCTTCAGTGTGTATCTCTAAAAGATATGACCTTATTTATTTATTTTTTTTGAGGAAGATTAGCCCTGAGCTAAGCTCTTTTTTGCTGAGGAAGACTGGCCCTGAGCTAACATCCGTGCCCATCTTCCTCTATTTTATACGTGGGACGCCTACCACAGCATGGCTGTTGCCAAGTGGTGCGATGTCCACACCCGGCATCCAAACTGGCAAACCCTGGGGCCGCTGAGAAGCTGAATGTGTAAACTTAACCGCTGTGCCACCGGGCCAGCCCCAGATATGACCTTATTTTTTAAAAAACAAATCCACAACATGATTATTACATCTAAAAAACTCCTTATTAGCATCAAACATCCAGTTTGTGTATAAATTTATCAAAAACATAGTTTTTTTGACATTTGCTTTGTCGATTCAGGATCCAAAGTCCACACGTTGCATTTAGTTGATACGTGTTGTCTTTTTTAATCTATGGGTTCTTAGCTTTTTCCCCCTTGCAATTTATTTGTTGAGGAAACTGGGTCATTTGTCTTGTAGGGTTTCTCACATTCTGGATTTTGCTGATTGCATTGGTGTGGAATCATTTAACATGGTCATTGATCTATTTCCTGTAAACTGGGCATTAGAGCTAGAGGCTCAGTCACACGCAGGTTTGATGTTTTCGGCAAGCTTACTTCAGATGTGTGCTGATACTACTCATCATGTGACATCAGGAAACACATAACTGCTGACTGACTGTCTCCCTTATTGTGATTTTAGGAATAATCAATGAGTTTAGGGGTTTTGAGCCTGTTTCATCCATTATGAAATTTCTCATAGCTTTTCACCTAATTTTTTATCATTGGTGATGACTGCCTAGACTCATTATTTCATTAGGGATTGCAAAATAGTGATATTTTATCACTTCTTCTTCATTTATTAGCTGGAATATTTCTATAAAGACCAAAAAAACCCACCAAAAACCCCTTTTCCCACCAACTATTTGGTTCCTTTGAGGTACAGTTCATATAAGAAAGTCAGAATGAATGCTTGACCCTTTTCTTTTATTTATTTGTTTTCAGAGTGATGTGGTGGATCCTTAGTATCTTCCAAAGTTGATGGGTGAGGCATTTTTCCCTCTTGCAGTATCTAGGAACTCATGGAGTTTAACATATTTGGTGTGTCACAATCCACTGCAGTTATTTTTTTTATTGTTCAAATTATTCCATCACTGGCCAGTGGCAGCCTTTTCAAGGCTCCTCAAGTCTTTTGACATGAGCACAGTAGACTTTGAAAGCTTCCTTGTTTCTTGTATGACAAAATGTTTCTGATTTATGTTTCCTGCTCCATATGCAGAATCAGGCCCGGTTCTTTTTAGTGTAAAATGGTATTTAGAAACTATAATCTCGACCCTGAGGGGGCACACTGCTACTGGGTTGGTCATCGTTTCTAGGGTTTTTCAGTGGATAGGCTAGGAGATAACTTTTTTTTTCTTAAGAGAAAATATATCATGAAATATATTTTCAATGAAATATTTTTCATTATTTAACTTTCAGTCAAAATGTAAGATTATAAGGTTTTACTTAATTCTTTGACTTTATATTTGTAACTTTTTGTTGAAAATCTTGATTCCTAACAACATTAACTTGATTACTCAAAGTAATATATCTATATCTACATAAGCCAATTTCAGAATACCAACACCAATGTTATTACTAATCATGTTGACACATGAAAATATTTTAAAATTTATTTTTAGTTCTCTTTCCATTAAGGTATAATGTCACTAGGAATATACAATAAAATTACTGTGTTTTAAAGCCACTTGAAACAAATTTTCACTGTGCTTTAAGGCATCAACTCAAGACACAGGTTCTTTTTATTTTTGCTTTTAAGTTTTAGAATTTTTTAAAATGAAATTTTTTTTATTATGGTAAAATATACATAAAATTTATAATTTTAACAATTTTTAACTGTATAGTTCAGTAGCATTAAGTATATTCATATTGTTGTGCAACTATCACCACTATCCTTCTCCAGAACTTTTTTCATTTTCCAAACTGAAACTCTGTGTCCATTAAGCAGTAAGTGCTCCTCCTCCCTTCGCCACCCCCAGGTTCTGGCAACCAGCATTCTACTTTCTGTCTTTATAAATCTGACTACTCTAGGTACCTCATATAAATGGAATCACACAGTATTTGTCCTCTTGTGACTGTCTTATTTCACTTAGTAGGGATTACTTTTTAAATATCTAATTTAATAGTATTTATTTTTATTTTTATTTTATTTTTTTGTGTGTGGAAGATTAGCCCTGAGCTAACTGCTGCCAATCCTCCTCTTTTTGCTGAGGAAGACTGGCCCTGAGCTCACATCTGTGCCCATCTTCCTCCACTTTATATCTGGGATGCCTACCACAGCATGGCTTTTGCCAAGCGGTGCCATGTCTGCACCCGGGATCCGAACTGGCAAACCCCGGGCTGTGGAGAAGCGGAACTGCACACTTAACCACTGTGCCACTGGGCCAGCCCCGGCATTTTTTTTTTAAAGATTTTTTTATTTTTTTCCTTTTTCTCCCCAAAGCCCTCCAGTACATAGTTGTATATTCTTCGTTGTGGGTCCTTCTAGTTGTGGCATGTGGGACGCTGCCTCAGCGTGGTTTGATGAGCAGTGCCATGTCTGTGCCCCGGATTCGAACCAATGAAACACTGGGCAGCCTGCAGCGGAGCGCGCGAACTTAACCACTCGGCCACAGGGCCAGCCCCAGCATTTTTCTTTTTTTAAAGATTTTATTTTTCCTTTTTCTCCCAAAGCCCACCGGTCCATAGTTGTGTATTTTTAGTTGTGGGTTCTTCCAGCTGTGGCATGCAGGATGCTGCCCCAGCATGGCCAAATGAGCAGCGCAGTATCGTCGCCCAGGACCCAAACCGGGAAACCCTGGGCTGCTGAAGCAGAGCGCGAGAACCCAACCACTCAGCCATGGGGCTGGCCCCTTAATAGCATTTTATAATTTTGTAAAATATTTACATGCTTCCAAAGTCAAATTTGCAAAACAAGTTTCCTTCAGAGAGGTCTAGTTTCTATTCCTGTTCCCCATCCCCACATAGGCAACCACTGAAATGTTTTTGGTTTATCTTTCCCTTGCTCCTCCTCCTTTTTTTTTTTTAACTGTAGGCAAACAAATACATATATTTGTGTTTATTCCCTCTTTCTTAAATGGTTGCATATAAGAATGGTAAATAAATAATAGTATAACATACATACTTTATTTTGCTTTCTCCACTTATCAGTATACCATGGACATCATTCCTTATCATTATACAGAGAGAAGTTCTCAGTTCGCCTTCATCTTTACAGCTCTTAACTCATAATTCCTCACTGATTTGTCAGCTGTAATACTGACGATATTTAGGAATACAGTTGGAGGTTACATACCATATACTTTCCTAATACTTGTTGAAAATCTGCAGCAACTGCATTTGAAGGAGAAAAATATTCTTCTGACAGCAAAGGATTTCTCAGAAAAGTATCACTAACCTGGGGAAATTAATGGAAATATTTAAACTATATAGGTAATTTCAACTGGAGAATTACAGGGTAAATGTTTATTTAAGCAGAATCGGGCAGAAACCTGAAATAAAGAAACCAGAACATGTCTAGATTTTTGGTGGCAGGCTGTCCTTCCTATTTAAAGATGCAGTACTTATGAGAACTGTGCTTGCCCTGTCTCCACTGCTGCAGTGAAGATCACAACCTCACACTGAGACTGCGGGTACTATCTTGACATAGCTGAGGACTTGAGGGGAAGAGCAGATGTTTATGTCTGGCAGACAAGGAAAGATGGGAGTCCGTGATATTTTCTAAATAAGTGCTTTTCACTTTCCCCTCCTGCCCCTACCCTCAAAATCCATCCAATGATAACAAAACAATCCCAAGTAAATGTCATGAGTCCATCTTTTAACCCCTATAGGGTTGTTATAGGATACTTGAGTCTCAAGAAGGAATTCTGACAATTGTCTGTCCTTAATGTTCTACTCTCCAGAAGTAGTGGTAAAAATTATGTGGTTATCAATTTTGTGTCATCTGGTTTTGGAAAGGTGGTAGAGTTGGGACATTTTGTCATAATGGCAGAGAGAAAAAATTTATAGTACAGTCAGTTAGATGGCTAACAGGGTTTACCATCTAGAGTCTCACAATTGTCTAGGCATAACTCTAGAGTGAATTACAATATTAGGTCTTCTAATCCTTGATTCTATGTATGGTTACAGTTTGAGCTGTGTTAAAGCAAGTTGGTACACTCAACGAATAAAATATATGCATGATACACGAATGTGACTGGAGAAAAACTATTAGTAACTATGGTATAGCTGATTTTCCCATTAATAATTTTTCTTAGAGTATGTATTCTGAATTACATATTTGTGAATAAAATTGAAGACTAGTATTATTTACTTTTGAAAACAAGAGACAAACATACTATCTGGACCATAAAGTTACCAGCATAATGGTTTAGCCCTAGTCTGTTTCTGAGACTGCCTTTCACCAAGTGTCCTTATTCTGGCTGGAGCTCAGTCTGGGTGATAGTCAGCAACAGGTGATATCTGTTGAGAATGTTCGTTACCCTCTAAGAAATTTATAAAATCTCATGTATCCACCTTAGTACATACACATAAGTACTCTATTTACCATCTTTTGTATTTGCTGGCAATTTTCTGGTAAAACTTTCCTTAAAGATAGTATGTCTTGATTAAAAAAAATACTTCTTTTCATCTAACTCTTACAATTGATTCAAATTTTCTACCAGAAGTGTCTTGTATATAATTATTTGTAAATTAAATGTATATGCTATTGAAAAAGCATATTAAATATTAGCAAAGCTTAATTTCATTCTTATTTTTAAAGAACAAAATAAACATAAAGAGAAACTCTAATAGATCTGAGTGGGTCATCTTTGCAGACCTTGCTTTCGAGTTGGGGGAAGTGTGGAAGCAGGAGACACACAAGGGACGAGGGTAAGAAATCTCTGAAGGTCATTAATGGCTCTGCTTTATAGCCAGATGAGTGATCTGCTTTTGGTTATTTGTTATTACTAATAAACTATAAAACAGAGACCTCAAAATTTCAGAAACTGAAAAAGTCCTTAAAGCAATATAACAAATTACTTACATTTTTGAGAAATGCAGATGGTGTTACAGTATCCAGGGCATTGTCTGAGGCACATAGGTAAGTGATTCCATCAATAAAGAGAGTATGGTAGACGAAGCTTTGAAAAGAATACATTCATTTACATGATAATATTGAAGAAATCAAGTACCTACGCAGAGAATTGAATTTCGTTTTCAAGCTCTCATTAATAGGATAAAAGCTATAGAGATAACTTTTTATAATCAGATCAGAAAACCTTTCATATATTTGAAAAATTAAAGTAATTTGTATTAAATAGAAATTCTATAAAATTTGAATATGTATTTAAAATTGCATCAATAAATCACAATAAAGAGGAAATGATAATAACCTAATACAGATATATTTGAAATGGCTTTGATAGAATTCACTCACATTCCAAGACAGAATCAAGATTCTGACCAAATAAAAAACGCTGTGTGCACTGATTTTCACTATCCCTATATTCTTAGGTAGACATATTTAATGTTGGCACTTCTTGGCTTTCTATTATGATACATTAGATTTAAAAGTTGTAAACTGCCAAAACCAAATATTCTGGGGAGCAGGATGAGTTGGGGAGGGGAATTAAACTCCCCTACAGTATGCAAAAGCGTGCCTTATCCTGACCACGCCAATTTCTACACCTTTTGTGCCTTCTCGGAGTCACATATTAGGAAGCTGGAAGACTCTTGGAAAGTGCCTGCATCTATACTGCCCAACAATCCAAAAAATTTAGGAATGTGGCAACAAAAATAGTTGCCTGGTGCCTGGGCTTTAATCTAGTTATTTTGAACACTCTATATCCACATGGTTAACAGGTAATAGACCTGGTCACATGCTATATTGGATATACATGAGAATGAGGAAACTCAGAAACAGGTGGAAAAGATAATCCCGGAGGTAGAAAATTTAAAGTATGTGCCTTTTCAACATAAATCTGTCATGTCATATCAGGAATACAATATGCTACAAATATTTTTAATTGATGATACACAAAATCTCTGGTTGGAAAATATTTTTATTTCTAAATTGAGAGGAGTCTTTGCTGAAAAAAGAGTTGCTAAGTCTATCATCTCTCTAAAAGTTATATATGTGATTTGAAAGAAATTGATACTGGATGTGAAAGGAGAGATATTTTAAATTTATGCTTAGTATGTTATTAGTTAGTAACATTCAGAAACCATCTTTAAATGTTAAAAACCCTGAATACCTGGTGTCCAGGATACACTGTTAACTGACAAAAGCAACGTGGAGAAAAGTGTGTATGATGAAATACCATTTGTCTATTATTCTCATATGCTACCATAAGGGAGATACAAATATATGTATGCACCTCTTATAGAAAAAGAAGAAAAGAAAAAGAAAATTATAAACTAAAAACTTATTCAAAATGGTTACATATGGGGGAGAGAGAGTAATGTGGAGAGTAAAGGAATGAAAATTAGACTTCTCAGTTTCTGTAGATTTGACTTTGGAATCCTATAAGTGTTTTGCATAATTATAAAATGTTATTAAACCAAATTTTCAGAGAGCAATCCTTAAAAATAAAAAACAAAATAAAACAAATGAATCTAATTTTATATAGAGTAACTCAGGCAAGAAATGATGGTGGTGTGGTTCCTATGGCAGTGGTGAAGGTGGTCAGATTCTGGATATATTTTGTACAGTAAAGGCAATGGGATTTTCTGATGAGTTGGATTTGAATGTAAAAGAGACAAAAGTCAAGGATCATAAAGGTTTTAGGCCTGAGGAACTGGAAAGGGGGTATATGGAAGACTGCAGGAGGCGGCTTGGTTTTGGACACAAGTTTGAGATGCCTATCAGACATCCAACAGAGATGTGGAATAAGCAGTTGGATATATAAGTCTGGAGTTCAGGGATTCAAAAGAGTAAATCCCTGAAGCTCAAAAGATTCAAATTAGAGTGTACAATATAGGTAAGCAAATAGTAGATGAAGAAAGTGTCTTTTTTTGGAAATGGTTCTGGCTAATAAGTGAAAACTAAACTAGAATACCACTATTTATTTTTTTTTTATTTAAAATTTTTATTAAAAATTTCAGAATTTATTTAATGTTACCAACCTCAAGAGAACAAAATGTATAAAAAATAAGTATCTTTTGAACCTGTGAATATCCCAGCAAAAGAAATAATTTTCAAAGTAGGGAATTAGGCAAACGATGGCAACATCTTTTTATAAACACACAGTGGTAGACTGAGCTGTTAAATATACATGAGGTGATTGGCAACCCTTTCAGAAAGTGATCTGAATCTATCAGGAACCTGCTATGTCTATATCTGCAGTCCAGGGACTTCCCCGTAAGCTCAAGATCCACATATAGGACCTTCCCCTCAGACCCATTGCTTCTTCTGAATTCCCTGTCACTTATAGTACCATGATGCAGCCACTCTTCTAAATCAGAGACCCAAGCATCAATTTAGACTCTGCTCTCCCTCACTGCCACGCCTCCACCCATTTAGACACTAAGTCAGCAAAGAATACCACTATTTTGCAACCCCTGATAAATAATGGCTCTAGGCTGTAGGCAATGAATATCAATGGCTGTTAACATGTCAAAAGGAGATACAAGCAGACTTCAGAAACCATCTGATGAAAAACATCTGTCATCTTGCCAAAGGTATCACGCCTCTGGATCCAGCTTCTTGTAACATGGTGCATTTTGAGTATGCAATCAGCAAACCCAGATTTGTGGGAAACTCTATGGGTTCTTCAACAATAAACTGTAAGGAAAGGAAAGGGATTGAGGGGGTATATATAGATTAAAGAGATTTAAAAGACATCAAATTAAAAAATGGGCAGGATTGAGCTCTCACATCTGAGGATGCACATTTACATGCTGAGGCAATAAAGAAACAGGGTAAGTGACTGCTATAGAAGCTGGAAAGGTAGTTGATTTGGGGAAGAGAAAGAGGAAGCTGTGAATTGGAGAGGACACATGGTGGGGAGTTTTTGGGGTGGCTGGCAGTGTTCTATTTTTTTGGCTTAGGTGGAGTTGCAGTTGGTGGGGGGGTTCCCTTGTAAAACTTCATAAAGCTATTCATAGGCTTGATGTGGTTTTTGTATTTTGTTTTATTTTACAATATAAAGGTTAAAATGAACCTACTCTTAAAAAAATAATGAGGGGCCTGCCCGGTGACAGGGTAGTGGTTAAGTTCAGTGCACTCTGCTTCAGTGGCCTGGGTTTCGTGAGTTTGGATCCCGGGTGCAGATCTACACCACTCATCAAGCTGTGCTGTGGTGGTGACCCACATACAAAACAGAGGAAGACTGGTACAGATGTTAGCTCAGGGCCACTCTTCCTCAAGCAAAAAGAGGAAGATTGGCAACAGGTGTTAGCTCAGGGTCAATTTTCCTGACCAGAAAAAACAAAAAAGCAACAAAAAAAAGATGATTCTAAAAAAATATAGAAGCTCTCTTATTCCTACTTGTTGCTTTCCTAGCAAAATGTTTTCAAGACTGGTTTAGGCCATACCATGTAATACCCAAGTAAAACTTAGAGTGATCTTATTAAAGATATTTTCAAGTGGGAGTTTCCTTTTTATTAATGAAATATTTTGGGTTTACCAAAAACGTATGCAGAATAACATTACCAGAACACTTGTAGACCCACCATCCAGTTAAAATGTTACAGATACAATTACTGCACCCTGTATACCCTTCCTCAATTTCTTCTCCTATCACAGAGGTAACTACTATCTTGAATTTGGTGTTTATCCTTCCCATTCATGATTTTATACTTTTACATATAGAAGTTCTCCTTTCTGAGGGTTCAATCAAGAGTATGCACAACTAATATTCTTTTTTCCTCGTGACATTGTCATTGGCATTATCTGCTGGTAATTGTTAAAAAGTAGACTTTTGTCAGAATATGCCTTACCTTCCCATTTGAATTACGGTCTTTGGTTCAGCTCTAAGAAGCACTAGTCTAAGCACTGTTGACGCTGCTTCCTAAAAACAAATTGTTAGCATTTACTTTATAGAAGATTGTGGTGTCTTTCATTATTCCTCTCCTAAATTTACCAATGTTCTGATTAGTTTAATAGTAGGAACAACTGTTTATTAGGAGAACTAATGGGTGGTTATTCATAATGCATGGTAATTATAGACCAGGTCTATAAAGATGGTTTCTGAATGTTATTAGGAATGTGGCTATTTGAGTCTTCTTAGGTAACTTTCGGGTTCCTGCCTTCAGGCTCCTTCAGGACAGGGAATGTCTTCATCCCTGACTTTCCAGTGTACAATGCTTAGTAAATTAATGGGGTTCCATACAACTAGCTATATTTAAGGTATTCTGGATAATCACAATACCTTGCAAATGTTCCTGCAAAGAATAAGCCTTTTAAGAAACAGGTATAAAAGGTCTTAGCAATTATTGGTTTTGTAGAAAGAGATCAGTGAATAATAGTGAATAGAAACTTTTATCTTAAGCAAAAAAAAAAAAAAGGTAGACAACTTCATAGAGTATTCAGAGAATAGTAGCTGAATACTTTTAATCCATTAACACTTTATGTAGTTTCAGTGACCAGTGGTCATTGAAAAGATAATTTGATTAGATAGTGTTTCCCAGCCTTGAAGCCATATATAAGATGTGACTGTAAAAATAAGACTGATTAGTGCAACCTATATTTGCACACTTACATCTATATACACAAAAAGTATATGTATATTTATGTGTAATTTTAATAACGCTCCCATTTTCACATAATGACACTTGAAATATAAACTTTTTGGGAGGGCAAAGTTTATTATTAGTGGTAGAGAGTAAAACTTGAAATTCTTGGTATTGCCTGAAAAATCCAGGCGGTTCTCTAGGAAAGGATTTCCTAAGAAATATGAAAAATCAAGGGAATACATAAACTTTCAGTTACTCTATTGTCATCACTGGAATGTTCCCCTAGCTTTCCCCCAGTTTCTCTTTTAGAGTATATAAACTGAAATCATAGCAAAATTTGAAACAAAGCAAATGGCAATAAGAACAGTAAAATAAGTGACAAACTGGGCTTCAGTTCTGTTTCTGACATTAATGTGCTGCACAACTTAAGAAAGTGACTTGTCTGGATGTGTTTCCTTGTGTGCAGAATGAAGGGATTGGGCAAGATGATCTCTAGGATCCTGTCCAGCCCCAGGACCCTATAATGGCAGTTGATTTGATCTCATGATTAAGCTTTGGTAGTTACCAATATTTTTCTAAGGAATATAAAGTATTTGTGACATTAATATTTAGCACTGAGGAAAGACATAATAGAACTGTTCCTTAAAGTGCCTGTCATCCTTTTCTTCTCCCTGGTCAGCCTTCTGACAGCCGTCATTCCAAACCTTTAATCCTTTCCTCCAATTGCATACTGCTCCACCCTCTTCCACTTTCTTACCTTCCTGCATGCTTCATAAAGAGAGGCCACTGGGCTTATGAACTCCTTCAACTGTCTGTCTCTCTCCTTTCTTAATTAATTGTTTATTGAGAACCCGCTATGTACTAGGCATTGTACACTGGAAAGACAAGACAAGTCCCTGTCTTGAAGGAGTCTGAAGGCAGAGCAGAGAAAAAAAATGATTCCAATTCAGCCTGCTCAGGAGTTTGGTATAGACACGTAAATTAGCCTGGGTATAGAGAAAGCTTCAAGGAGGAATTGAGAAAAGCCTCAAAGCAAAGAAGAGGTTATACTGCTTAAAAGTGGAGAAAAGTGGGTTCCAGGGAGAGGGAACAGGAGATGCAAAGGGAGACCTTGGTGAGATTGGAGAACAGCATGAAGTTCAGGATAGCTGGAACACAGGGATAAGTGGGGAAGAGAAGGAGATAATCATGGAAAAGCCCCACCAGGGAGGGCCTTGAATGCCAGGCTAAGGAGTACGGGCTTTACTCTGAATGTAATCAGATGCCACCAAATGAGTTTAAGCAGAGGAGTTACAGAATCATAGTTGCTGTTGGGAACAACCCCTTGCGCAGCGGTGTGGAGGCTGGTTTTGAGAGGGACAAGGCTACCTCTGGGAGCTCAGGTATGGGACATTTTCAACAATCCTAGTGAGAAGTAATGAGGGCCTAGAAGACAAGGTCCAGAAACAAGGATTCAAGGCATATTCAAGAGAGAACTGATAGACCCTGGTGTCAAAGAATAAATGTGAAGGTGAAGAAGAGAGAAAACTTGAAGGTGACTCTGAGTTTCCAGCTTGAACGACTCAGTAGAGATACTCAGCAAGATTAGAAATACATGAGGAGGAATCTGTTAGGAAAGAATTAATTTAGTTCTGGACATGATATGTCTGAACTTCTACTAGGCAATCTAACTGTGGAGAGAGATTATTTTGGAAGTGGATTTGGCAGAGATCAAAGTAAAAGTGTCCACGGGTGTGAAGAATGTGTCAAGTTAAAAGGGGACTGAAGTTAGAATGCTGAGGAAGGCAGTACTTAAGGTATTGGCAATGAGGAGAGCCCCAGGGGGAGACTAAGTTCTGCGTCTACATCCACACCCCTCCTTTCTCCATGAGAAAGGCATTCCTCTAGGCCAAGGCTCACACCTCTACCACCACACTGGATTCCCTTCCTTTGTGCTCCTTCAGGTCTCGCCCCGCCAACAGCCCATTCCTCTCCTATATCTTACTCTTCTCCTGCTCCACTAACCCATATACATGCGAAAGTTGCCCCTGCGCTAGAAAATGAGGCCCCCTCCTGGACCACGCTTCTTCTAGCTTTCACCCTCTCTCAGTCCCTTCCTAAATTCTTGAAAGAACAGTCTAACTTCACTTTCCCTGCTTCCTCATCTCCCATTCACGGCCTACAGCAGTCTGGCTTCTGCCTCTACCACTTTTTTCAAACCGCTAACATAAGATCACCTAGTATCCTCTCATTGTTGAGTCCAAGGAACACCTTTTAGATCTTGTTCAACTTCTTTGGGACATGAGACATTCTTATGATTTTTTCTCTTGGCTTTCAGGACACCACTGCTGTCATTTGGCGACCCACCTCTCTACTCTATTCCTAAACAGTGTTCTGCCTTTTGGGCCTCTTCTCTTCTCACTCTCTATACTTTTCTCGGGCAATCTTACCCATTTCTATTCTCTTTAACTGTTAGCTCTGACCTTTTGGACATTTTTAGGACTTAAATATTTTCGGAATAAGGTGGAGGGATAAATACACAAATGGATTGGCCATTTCCAATTGGCAACAAAATTCAACCTGTCCCCAACTGTACTATCCTCCCTTGCATTCCCTCTGACTCCCTTCCCCACAACCCTCCTTCACCCATAGTTCCTATCTTTCTTTCTTTCTTTTTTTGTTTTAGAGGAAGATTAGCCCTGAGCTACCATCTGCTGCCAATCCTCCTCTTCTTTGCTGAGGAAGACTGGCCCTGAGCTAACATCTGTGCCCGTTTTCCTCTACTTTATATGTGGGATGCCTGCCACAGCATGGCTTGATAAGCAGTGCATAGGTCCACACCTGGGATCTGGACCTGCGAACCCCAGGCTGACAAAGGGGAACCTGCGAACTTGCTGGCCCCGATAGTTCCTATCTTGTTTAATGCGACTGAAGAAAAAAATCTGGCAAATCATCACACTGTACACCTTAAACTTACACAATGTTATATGTCAACTATATCTCAATACAGTTGGGGAAAGATTTAAAAAACAGAAAAAATTGAGAATCGTCCTAGGCATGACCCTGTCCCTTATCCCATATATTCAACCTGTCACTAACTTCTGAGGATTAGTTTTACAAAGTCTCTTTAGATCTGCCCCTTCTTTTCTATCTGCACTGTCATTGTCTTAGCCTAGGCCCTTAGCTCTCCCACACAAACTATAACACCACCATCATATCTAGTTCTCCCCACTCTAATCCACCCTCCATATTGTAACGAGACCAAATTCTCCAGATGAATCAGATCTTGTTATTCCTCTATTTACAATCTTTAATTGCTCCCCAGTGTCTCTAGGATAAGAAAAACTAAAGACCCTTCATTAACTATCCTCTGCCCACTTTTCTGACCTCATCTTTAGCCCCTATATACTGCAACTCTGTGCTCTAGCCACACTGAGGTTCTTGAGGTTCCCCAAGCACACCGCCCTGTTCCCTCTGCATGGAATCCTCATTACCCTTTCGGGTTCTAAGCTAGGACTAACTCTTAGAAGGCTTCGAAGCCGAGCTCTCTAACATCACCTCCTCTGTGGTGGACAAGCAGCCACCCATCTTGAGCGCTCCCGGAGCAATCTCGACCTACTTCCGGTGAAATACTTTTTACCCTGTAGGACAACTATATATAGCGCTTGCGCGTAAAGGGACAATGAGCTCCTCAAGGGACAAATCCAGGCGCCGTCTTCTCTTCATTGCATCCCCCACACCTTTACCCTGGGATTTTGCAACTAACACATGCTCAATAAATGTGTGTTGAACTGCAGCCCACTTCTCTGTGGGGGAGAGAAAATCTGTAAGGGTCCCCGGAATTAAACGTGGCCGTAGATCACTGCCAAACGAGTCGCATGCAGCACCCACGCTAACCCCTGGGCGGCGCACGTGCGGCCCTGCAGGCCGGGAGCGCGCAGGGTTTCCGCCGGGGATTCACCACCTCGTGGGCTCGGCCGCGCGCGGGGGCGTGGGCCTCACGCTCCCACAGCCCGCTCGGGCCCGCCCCTCAGCGCCGCGCCCTGAGGGGCGGGCACACTGGGCGCCACCCTCGAAAAGCCGAGCCCTGGAAGGCGGAGGTGCCGACCCAGGGGTACCTGATAGGAGCCGCCGGTCAGGGCCAACTCCGCTAAGACCATTCGGCCATTAGCAATGCAGCTGTAGGTGATCGTCATAGTGGGCGCGCCAGTGAAACAGAAGCTCCCGCCTGACCTAACCGCCCGCGACAGCCTCGGGGCGGGGACTGGGGCGGGGCTCCGGGGAGGGCGGTGCCTGCGCAGGCGCGAGGAACGATTGATTGGCAGGGAGGGAGGCGGGGCTCTCTCCTGCCTGGGCTGAGCGGGTGTTGAGACCCGGGGAGGTCTCTGGAAAAACTGGCTTTGGGTGAGTGAAGCCCTTCTTCGTGGTCGGCCTTATAATAATTTGAGCCACTTTACTTCACAGTGCTTACTTGCATATGATTCCTCCACAGTCCAGAACATGTGAAATATAGACCTTGATTTAAAGTAAAATTCATTTATTAACTCAACAGGCATTTGTTGAACTCCCGCTAAGCGCCGAGTGCCTTAGATTAACGGGTGTGCAAAGATATAGGCCCCATACCCGGACTTTGAGGATTTCATATTCTAGTAGTGGTTACAGAGGCGTGTGCAGACAAACGCCTGTGTCAAGTGATATGTGTGTGCTGTGATGGAAAGATCACCAAGTTGCAGAAGCTGAAGTGGCGGCAGCTAGTTCTCCTTGGGAGAGAGAGCAAAGCTTTCAAAGTCACTGTCCGACTTAGAGGATGGGTTGGAATTCTCTAAGTGAGGAGGAAAGATAGGACAGTCGAAGCAGAGGAAGAGGTCTGTAAAGGCTTGAAAGGAGGCAGGTGGGTTCAGGAATGGATGTGAGTGAGTGTGGCCGAGGAAGGTGTATGACAGAGTGGGTAGGAGGTGAGAGTGGTAGGGGTGGTAGAATGACTTTTGGTATCCCAGACCTTGAGTTCCGTGACAGGAATTTTAAAGTATGAGCTTAGGATAGGCTCATGTATTTTCATTAGTGAGGCATTCTGGTAGAGTAGGAAGAAGTCAGATAAACTTGGATTCAAATATAGCCATTGCCATTTACTCTGTGCCTTTCTTGTAATGTAACCTTTCTGAGACTCAGTTTCCTAATCTATAACATGGGGATATTTGTCAAGTTTAAATTAAGTAATTATGCAGACTACTTAGCATACAGTAGATATGCAATTGCAATCCTTATTATGATACATACAATAATGAGAATTACTTTCTTGCTCCCAATCGTATCTCTCTAAAGAATAAACAATCGATGTCCTTCTGGGGTGCCTGGCAGGAGGTGAAGACAGGTAGTCAACTGAGTTTATTTTCACCCAGTGTAATCAAATTGGATTTGACAAGCAAGCAGCAAAACTGATCTGGATTGTAGCTCCTAAGAAAAATGCCTTGTGGAATCATGTATCCTCCTATATAAAGGAAATTTTGAATCAATGTGTCTTACCAGCTTAGAGAGAATGTCTTGTGTTACAGGCGGCATGACTGAATTAAAAGCGCAGGTCACATCACTTGTATGTGGGAAAATGAAATATGTTAATTCTGAGGTAATGCCTTGGTATATTCTTGCTTACAGCAAAAATGAGCTGAATAAACTTGGCCACATTGCAGTGCCCCTTCTGCTTAGTAAGTAGTGGAGCTGAAAGCTACTGGGCAATGAAATCGTGAGCTGTGGTAATGACAGCAAGCATCTGATAGTTGCAGAGGTGTGTATGGGACCTTCCTCATCTTGGTCTCACTTTGTCATATTGAAACAATCCTGTAAAGCAGGTTTGGTGGGTTCACTTTGCACAACCCACAAATTCAGGCCAACAGCAATGTAAAACATAATTTATAGCGTAACTGCCTTTCTCGGGAACCCGATGTTACCTGATATCTGGGGCTTAATCCAGCCAGTGCCAGGTTTCCTCAGTTAGCTCGGGATTTCCCTGTTTCCCTTCTTTCTACACAAGGTGGCATCTGTTTGTGTGAGGATCTTGGTGGGGGGGGGGGGGGGGGGGGGGGGGGGGCGGTGCGGACTTCTGATTCGTGGCCTTCCTCTCTCTAAGGCAGCCTCTGCTAATGTTTGTTTTCTGTCTGTTTCTGGTCATCAGTTTACATAATCCACTTGGAACCTCCAGGCTCCTTTGGGTGCTCTGGTTCTCTCTCAGCCACCTTTGTGGCCCTCTTGGGGTGAGGAAGACTTTCGGCTGCTCCCTCAAGCTGTCCTGAGGCTTTGGGAGGCTCTAAAGGCTGTCTCAGGCCTCGAGCCAACACACTATGCTGTTACCCCTTCTGTCGTGCTGTCACTCTGTTGTCAAGCGAGGAGCGGCTCTTGGACCTTACCTCACCTGGGAAGCGAACCGGTGGATCCCCAGTTTACTGAGAGTCTTTTCATCACCACACTCCATCACCCCTCACCTCCCAGCCAGGACTCTGTGGCTCATTGTATTGCTTCCTTCAGATTCTCTGCCCTCCTCCAGCCTGTGGAAACGAGAGCAAGTCTAGGTGGGACACCTCCTACACCCCAGGCATTCTTCCCCATTTATGGCATTAATGTTGGCTTCTGCTGTCCCAAACCTTTTCTTTCCTTGGAGTCTCTCTTTAGGGAGTTTCCAAAATCTATTTTGAAACATTAAGAGCTGAAAATCTTTTCATTCTTTCCCTGCCCTTCCTCCTTTGTCCCTCCGCCTCCTCCTTCATTTTCTTCGTTCTCTGTTTTTATGCAAAAGGAATAACTGAGAATAAAAAGCACAGCAGGTAATATAAAACATCACAGGTATTTCTGTCTTTCCCTTGATAATTTCACAAAACCTTGGGTTGAGCAGAAAGAGTGGTGAGAAGCTGGATTCCTGGGAAGGAGAAATGGGACATTTCACTATTATGCATTTTTTTAAAAACAAGCTTTTAGACTTTATAACTACTTTCATCAACTAGCAAATCTACTGTCACTGCTTTTTAGAGATTAGCTTCTCAGGAGGAATTTTCGAATCATTTGCTAATTTTTGAATCATTCAATTTCTTAGGTCTCGAGAGAGTTTGTAAATATTCCACAAGCTGGGAGCTGGCCCTGTGGCAGAGTGGTTAAGTTCACGTGCTCCGCTGCACGTGGCCCAGTGTTTCGTTGGTTTGAATCCTGGGCGCAGACATGGCACTGCTCATCAAACCACGCTGAGGCGGCATCCCACATGCCACAACTAGAAGGACCCACAACTAAGAATATACAACTATGTACTGGAGGGGGCTTTGGGAAGAAAAAGGAAAAAAAAAAAAATTCCACAAGGTGGAAACTTTCAAGCACTAATTCAGGATGCTTCTTATTAAGTATTGAAGTTCTCCTGTAAATAAGTAAAAGTTCTCTTTTACTTATAGTTCAAATGGAAATATTTTTATAGTCTTTTTTCTTATAGTGTGTGATTACTGTAGAAATATAAACAATATACCAGTAAAAGCCTGTTTTTTTTACCATCTCATAAAAATAACTATTGCTGTAATCTAATTTATGTTTGCCTTTTCTTTTTAATGTATTTTTATATGTAACATTAATGAATACATGCGTACACATTTTTCTGAAATTTGTTTTTTGTTTTTTATTTTATTTTTGCTGAGGAGGATTTGCCCTGAGCTAACATCCGTGCCAGTCTTCCTCTATGTTTTAGTATGTGGGCTGCCAGCACAGCATGGCTACTAACTGGGAAGTGTAGTTCTGTGCCCGGGAACCAAACTGGGGCTGCTGAAGTGGAGCACGCTGAACTTAACCACTAGGCCACTGGGGCTGGCCCTGTTTTTTGTTTTTTAAATTAATATGTTGTTTTCTTTTACTATCATGTATTTTTCAAATATTTCCTCTGAAATTTCTAATTTTTATTTTTCTTCCTGGTGTCTATTCTTTTGCAGACATTTTTGTTTCTTACCTAGTCAAACTCAGCAGTATTTTTTCCTATAATGTTGGACCTTGGTGGCATGTTAGGCGAGGCTTCCTTTCCTATTCCCATATAAAAATATCCCTTTATTTTTCTTCTGTTACTTTTGTTTGTTTTAATGTTTACATCTTTAATCCACCTGGAATTTGTTTTTGCGTCTCTTGTGAGGTAGGACTTTGTGTTTTCCCAAATGCACAGCCAGCTGTTTCATACCACTAATTCACTACTCTGTCCTTCCCCACTAATTTGAAATGCCACTTTTTCTGTACACTAAATTCCCCCATATACATTGTTAATTGGATTTTAGAGTTGATTTATATGCCCATTTCTGTGCTGATATTGCAATGATTCAGTAACTGTGGCTCAAATTGTTTTCAATTTAACAAATTGGAGAAAATTTTATATTTACAATATTGAGTCATCCCATGCAGGATTCTATTCATTCCTTATGGTGTCTTCCTGTAAAAGCTCTATAAGTTTCTTCATAAAAGCTTAACAAATGTTTCTTACATTTATTCTGGGGTATTTTGGCTGCACTTGTTAATGAAATTTGTTCCCCATTATGTTTTCAAACTAGCTGTTCCTGACATGTAGAAAATCTATTGGCTATGTTTAATTTATTTTGCATATAGCCCCTGACCCGTTATACTGTAAACTCCTTAAGGCCAGGGGCTTTGCATAGAGTGCGTAGTGCTTTGTTCAGTTTGAACAGATGTAAGATACTATTGTTGGTTGTTATATTAGGCTTTTCTATTATACTCAGCAACCAAGTGGAGGGGAACCTCAGGTAGCAATGATATTTGTGGAAATTGGGTAATGATTGAGAGTAGTGTAGTGGGAAGAGATTGAAGGGACTTTGGAGTCAAGCCAACCTGGACTTGAATGCTGACTTTGTCACTTTCTAGTTGAGTAATCTTGGCATCTCTGAACCTCAGTGTCTTCCTTAGGCTTATCTCTGAACCTAATTCACAAAATGAACTAACATACATAAAGCGTATTGTGACTAGTCCACAGTAGGTGTTCCATAATGGATGGCTGTTAAGATCATTATGAGTTCATATTTTCATGTAACCAAATCTATCCAGTAAGATGTACATTTAAGAAAGCACGGCCTGGCCTACGTGACATGCCTCTTTATAGATTCAGTGAACATATTTGAATCATCATTGAAGGCACATGTTACAGAAATTTTCTAAAACTCTTCTATTTGAGAAATGTATTATATTATTGGTCTCCTCTCTCTAACTTGTAAGTTTCCTGAGTGCAGAGATCGAGTATTACCAATCTTTTTATCCCTAGCATCTCATATAGTGGTGGACACAACTTTGGTGGCTGTGTTTCATAGTATGAAGTACAATAATTTATTTAACCATTTCTTCATACCTCCCTTTTTTGTTGTTTTTGCTAATACAAAAGAAGTTGAATT